CAAGACCCCATCTTTAAAAACAAAAAACAAAACAAAAAAACATGGGAATATAGCTTAGTATGAAGGCTCTGGTTCATTTCCCCCAGTACTTCCTGCACCCATCTATATTGAAGATTTTGACTTGATCACTTTTTAAATATATAGTGAATTTTTTTCAGTGACTCTACTATTCACATAGATAGTTGTGTAGATTCTGACCTGCAACCTAGAAGGCAGCTATTTACCCACCCCACCCCATTTTCTGCTAACTCCCTTCATAAGGCCTTTTTCTGAAGTACATGATAGTTGAGGCATAGCTCAAGAAGATTAAGATTCATCTTTTCAAAATGTTTCCTGAAATGGGCTTCAATCCCACTTCCTAATCTTTTTATGAATGATGAATTTAGTAATCCCCTTGTATCTACATGAGACTGGTTTCAGGAACCATACAGATAACAAAATCTGAGAATGCTCAAGCTCCTTGTGTAAAATAGTGTAGTATTTTCTCACAATATTTGCACATCCTGTAGTACACTTTAAATCATTTCTGGGTTATGTGTAATACTTAATAGTGTGAATGCTATGTAAATAGTTGTTATGCTTTATTGTTTTGGGAAATGTCTGTATATGTTCAGTACAGACATACACTCCGAAATAGGTTTGTTGTACACTTGGTTGAATCTGTAGTTTGTGGGACCTGTGGATATGAAGAGCCAGACACACTCAGACTAGTGTGGTGCTTGGCACCAGTATGACACTGAAAACCTTGAGGATTATACAGCGTTTTGGAATTCAGATTTTTGGATGTCTAGGGTTGCTCAGCTGATAAAATCTATGCAAATAATTCTAAATCCAAAAAATTCTGAACTGAAACACTTCTGGCCCAAAGCATTTTGGGTAAGAAATATTCAAAGTTTATTTCCTGATAATCAATGTAGAATTTATAGGTATGTAAGAGTAAGTTTAGGTTGAATATTGATGCAGAAAGAAAAAAATCAAATTCTGATATAACACAGTTAAGAACCTAAAAGTAATCTTTCAGAACCTTGTTTATCAATAAAGATTCAAACTGGCTTTACCATTATATAATTCTGTGAATAGTAGGAGTAAGCTCTTGATAGGATGTATTTTACATAAAGAATGGAAAGATTATGAAGTTGTCAGGGTGGATCCTCTTAGTTTTTAAAAAACAACCCTGGCCCCATGTAGCATATATACCTGTAGTCCCACCTACTCTCAGCTGCTCGGAAGGCTGAGGCACGATCATTTGAGGCCAATTTGAGCAACATAAAAGACCCTATCTCAAAAACAAAAAATCAACAACAAAAAACCCCAGCAAAAATAAAATAAAACTATCCAATTTGGCTTTCTGATAAAAGTACCTAAAAAAAATAAGAAACTACATCCCCTTGCTGTTCCTCTCATTGGGAGAAAAAAGTGAACTTACAGGTAACGCAGTCTTTGTTGTCAGTTTTTCATCAAAACTACTTTATCTGTTTCTTCCTCTTCCACCTTTTCTTCCTCTTCTTCTTCCACTTCCTCCTCCTCCCTCTGTCTGTCTCTGTGTCTGTCTCTGTCTCTCATGGTACTGGGGATTGAACCCAGGAACTTCACACTGAGCTGCATCCTCAGTCCTTTTCTTTTAAAACCAGGTAGGACTCTGTTGTCTTACTCAATAGAAGTTAAAAGGATATTAAACAGTGCTGTATTTTTCTGCTCATTTAAATAATAAAAATATTAAAGTTCTGTATTTCTCTCATGGTATTTTTCATTTATCTTTAATTATATGTCATGAGCAAGTGTTTTCTACCCTTTTGCTTTCCCTGAACAATAAAGTACTGCAAATGTGGAAGAATGAAAAAACCTGTAGTCATTCTTCTTGCCTAAGTTTACTGTTCCTTCACCTTAGTACCACTTAGTAAAACACTTGTCTTGTTCCTAGAGTCTCAGAAAAGCTTTTAATAGTCTCTCAGAAGGTCTCTGAAAAGTGGAGTCTTAGCAACTAAACAGTATCTTCAGATAGTAGTCTGAATTACATCACTGCAGGGGAGGATTCAGTACTATAGTGTCTTATCTACTGACTTCATAAGGGAACTTCATGTAGTCCCAGAATCTATAAAAATAGTTACATTGTTTGAGTTTCATAAATTTATGAACTAAATTCTGATAATCTTATTTAGATATTGAGATGAAGATAGAGAAGTTAGGTAATCTATATAAGGTCATGGGGTTAGGTTCATTAGAAATGGGATTCATGGGTGGGGATTTAGCTTTAGTGGCACTGCACCAGCCTTGCAAACGCAAGATCCTGAGTTCGGTCCCCTGTACCAAAAGAAAAAACAGCAACAGAAATGGATTCATATTCAAGGCAATTTGGCTACAAAACTTACATTCTCAAACACTGCTAGTACAGTATTTTCCCTCAAAATTATCTGGAGGTTATTATTCTTCTAAGTGTGAGGAAACTTGGACTCAAGGAATTCACTTGCCCAAGGACACAACTAGTAAATGATGGAATCCGAATTTAAACTTCAGGTAGCTGATTACTTTGCCGTTAATTTTAGGTTTTATTCTTTATCATTTTATTAATCCCTGGAAACTCTAAATTTCAGTTGTTCACTTATTAAAGTACAAAACTCATGTTTTTATACCTTAATGTCTCTATTTTCTGATTAAAGTATATGTTTATCACCCACACACACACATACCATTTCTTATAATTCTGCCACTCTGGAGTCTTGTTACTTAAGAAGTCTTTTCAGGGAAATTGTTTATAGGTGGAAGAAAGTGAGAGGAAACTATATCTGTATCTATACATATATATCTAGATAGATAGATAGATAGAGATAGATAGATAGATAGATAGATAGATAGATAGATAGATAGATATAACACAGTCCCTGCCTTCAGGTAATTTACTTTCAGGTTGAGAAACCTAGTAAGTATGGATGTTGATCTAGAACAAGAAACAACATATTTGCTTAAATCTAAACAGGTGAACTTATGCACTACTTTGGAACAAGTTAAAATTGTCCATATAAAAATAGATTCAGTAGGGGGGATAATACTGAACATGAAATATAGGGTAGTGTAATCATGATGATTTCTTTTTGGGTATTTCAACTATTAAGATGTTTTTGATTCACCCATGTGAAGATGGATGACATCATTTTATGTTAAAATATTTGCATATCTGAAATTGGGTTTAAATAACTACTAGAGCCAGACCTGGTGACATCTTCCTGTATTCCTAGCTACTTAGGAGGCTTAGGATCGTGTGAGTCCAGGAGCTCAAGCCTGCCTGGGCAACAAACGTAGCAAGAGCTCATCTTAAAAAAATAAATAAATAGGGCTGGGGATTTAGCTCAGTGGTGCCTACACCTGCCTTGCAAGCACAAGGTCCTGAGTTCGATCCCTGGTATCAATCAGTCAATAATTAGTGAATCTATATATAGATCATAGACTGTAAGATATAATCTATAACCTATAGATTATATGTCTCATAGAGTGATACTGTATGGCTTCAGTGGCTTTTATTCTTAAGTCCTAGCATTCTTTATATAATAGGGGTTTTCTTTTCTTTGCAAAGTTTTGATAAGTAAACTGCCTTAGGCATGTGAGGTAAGACTCACTGTGAAATACTCATTTTAAAATAACTTATTTGGGAATATTATTGCAAAAGATAATATTCCTTTGTTACCTGGATTTTTCACAACCATTATCGGTTACTTGTCTTTCAAGATGACTTTGACAAGATAATATAGTTTGCCAAAACCTTGGGGAGATGGTGAAGGAGAGAAAAAATATAAACATATTTGTTTGGGATTAGACACAACTTTAGTGATTTGAATGACTGGGTAAAATACTTTGAGTCTTTTTTCCTCTATAAAATGAGAATATGGCAGAGTTACTGTGAGCATTAAATAAGAATGTGTAACACCTAGCACAGTGTGTTAAAAATAACTATTATGAAAAAAATAACTATTATGTTTATTACTGAAAGTATCGTTGATAGAAGAAAAAACATATATTGAAGGGGGACCATGGTGTTTTCTTTGTAGTTTTTCTGTTGGTAAATATTGCCATCATTGGGTGAACAAAGAAGGGGGCCAACTACAAAGTGGTTGGAGTTGTTTTGTTTTTTACATTGCTCACAATTGAACCCAGGACCTCACACATGCTAGGCAAGCACTACTGAGCTACACCCCCAGCCCCAGAATGGCTGGTTGTGACACTTATTTGTAGTTTGGGAAAATTATTCTATAAGGAAAATAGATACTTTGTGTTACCTTGTACACTTTGACATGTGGATAACTCAAGGTCGAGGACTAAACAATTGTTTTGTTTAGCTTGTTCACACGTTTTTAAGGCTTCATTTTTACCAGATAGGAAGACAGGATTTATTCAGTAAATATTCAGAATGATTCTAGGATTTCTATTTAATCAAATTTTTCTTTTCTTTAAAAATATGAGTCAGTGATTAAGTTCAACAACATAGAATTGTTAGAAAAAAATCTTAAATTTCTTCTGTTTAAGCTTCACATTTTAGAGAATAACATGTGTGGCACAGTCCCTTCAAAAAAAGATCTTAGCAAAAATAAGACCTTAAATTAAGTTCATGATTTTTAGTCTCACAAAACAATTCTCTTTCCTCTAAGTCTCTTTTATGAGTTTACCACAGATACATTCTTACTGTAGCTGTCATGATAGGGTTAAACATTTGCTATAGCATACTAAAGCAGTTAAGCTGTTTGGAATTGTTTACTTGCTAAAACCAGTGTTAGTCAGCAGAGGCAGTACACCAGATTTCCTTGTGGCTTTTAGTGGAAAATGTTAAAAGCACACTCATTTTTCAGTTACAGAATTTTTCAGTTTGATTTGGATTAGTCACAGAACTGGCATAAACCTTCTAATTGTGAAGGCTGTCCAAATGCACTATTTTTTTCTTCTGGTAGAGGAAGTTACATCCTGAGCAGTAGCTCAGCTCTCTGGTAAGTGTAACGTGTGAGCATTACTAGGCATTTCATCCTGCGGGTCTGCGGTCTTTGCTGTTCAGACTATTGCTCAGTCGGAATGCTTCTGTGGGGCTGATCCAGAGGTTCTATCGATATTTTTTAAGGACCTACTCCTTGGGAGATGTTTGTTGCTGGCATTTTTCAAGATTGAGGAACAGAAAAGCATCTGAAATCGTCTGAAAAGGATAACTAGCAGTTTTTACTGTGGAAGGAAACTACTGACACAGAGGCAGATGATTGAATAAAGTAGTTGGCTCAAAGAAGATGTACAGTCTGCTGTTCTTTCCCCTGAACGAAGCCTATTTAGTGGAAGCTGTATTCGGGTGGAGATCAGAAGAAACACTGGAATGATAAACTACTGGGATTTTTCCCCTTCTTTTTAATATGAAAACCCTGAAGCAGTAATTTGAGCTGAAATGCCTTCTAATTCCCTTGCAGCCTGCTTGTTCTATTAGGATTCTCCACGGTCACCATTTCTGCCTGGTGCTTGTGTCCTTTGCTGGAGCAGCCACAGACAGCAGCTGCCTGATGGAGAAAGAATGAAAGCTCTGCCTTGCTAATGCTATGGATGGGAATAAAGCTGTCTGTGTTTCTTCTGTTATATGGGAAATCTGGATTAATCAAGCTGTATTCCTGTACCAAGAGTCCTATTGTCTTTTGTGGTCTGACTCATCACGTGTAAATGTACTGCAGTTTTGCTATTAATGCAGAGTGGTTTTTATTTTTATTTTTTTCTTTCTTTCCCAAACACAGAATTGTCAACCTCTGAGCTTCATTTTCAGATTTGTGTAGAGCTCTAGATGTTTTATTCCTCCCTGGATTATATTCCCATTAAATCAGTGAAGCTGAAGGAATGAAGACAATTTAGAAGTGGAAACAGAATAGTGACATTTTATTTTTTGTTTTCAGTTGTAAGCAAGCCAGCCTACTAGTAACTATATGACCTTGCAGACAAGAGCGGGTGTAGCTGTGGTCATCTCTGCAACAGCAGTTGTTTCTCATTTCATTCTCTGTAGTGTGGTGTTGTTTCACCAAAAATACTGATTGTTTTGTACAAGTAAATTTCAAAGAGAGAGCGATACAACTATTTTGGTAGGTAGGGAAAAATATTTCTAAATGAGCTTGTATTGACTCAGTTTTAATTACTGACATGCTGATGTTTAAGCTTTGTTAAGTGTTCCAGTAACCTGACAGAAAAATACTAGAATTTTGTTATTTTTATGAAGTTGGAAGTTATATATCATGATTTTAAACTTCAGTTTCTCTGATAGTACTTATTAACTTCATAAAATCAGCTGCACTGCTCAGAGAATGTTTCTAAGTGTTGTACAGAAGAAGAGGAAAAACTACTTGTACTCTTCCAACTGTGACTTTTATCGCATAGCTTGGAATTTAATGTTTTAAAAGAACGAATGAGTCGAGTGTGTATTGTTGTTTTGGAGGAGGTAGAAGATGAATCTCCTGCATTCATTTCTAAATTGCCACAGGAAAATCAATCCCTACTTTCTCCACCTTCTGGAAGTGTATTGGTAAGATATGAGAGTTTATGTTTTCTATGTTCTACTAAACTGGTAGTATAAATTTTATTTTTTAGGAACAAACATGAGTTAGTTTACACCAGTTTCATTTAAAAATCCAGATTATAGCACCATATGCCAGTGTGATGCAATATCATATGTGTATAAAGTGAACACATTTCTGATTTTTACTTTTTTTCAAATGCTTCCTTAACATTTCGGACTTTACTATCTCTTTACCTCTTAAAAAGATTTTTTAATGAATTAAGAAATACTATGGCAACCATGTTTCTGTTTTCATTTTGTGGTTTTAGAACTGATAATGACTAGAATCAGGAACTCTGCATATTTTAGGAAAGGTTGACCATTACCAGCAACACTGAACACAGCTTCTTCAATAAAGAATTTCATGTATTTACCTGCAAGACTTAAATGTGAAAAAGACTCAAACTTCAACCCTAACCTTATTTTTTAATGCTGTTGTTAGCTGTCTCCTTATTTGAGTGGTATAATATGATACCTTTGAAAGACTGTGATGTTGATTAGGATATTATATTTAGATATGCATGTGTTTGTCTTTTTATGTTATTCGGGTATACAGTGTTTTTGATCTTTTAATGGTTATTTCATCAACTTTCTTGAGATTTATATGTTTAAACATACAGTGCTAGCCCATGTATGTTATTTTCTTGCCCCAAACAGGCCTTTACAAAAGGGTCCTTCTTTTATGGGCCTCAGCATGGGCTAGGAGTTGTTTGACAAGTTCTGTTCCACAAGTGAATACTGAGCTATCAGACTTATATTTGGAAGTCTTTATCGCATAAATGAGAGGTTTCCACTTAAAATCAGATTGTCTTCATATACTAAATTTTAGTTGACTGAATTGATACATATTTTTTTTTATCTCAGCCCCCCCTTTCCCCTAAAGATGAATCCACTACTTTTTTTTAATACTATTTAGCTTCATGAAACTTGGGATTTATGTCAAAAAGTAATTATTGCTGCAAGGAAGAAAAAAATTTTAGACATAAAAGTTATATGGAAGTATTTTTAGAATTATTCATGGTTGTGTGGCTAATATTTTTATTATTCTCTCATATTTTAGCCATCACTGGTGCAAGCTATATTTAACGGAGATCCTGATGAAGTTCGAGCACTAATATTTAAGAAAGAAGATGTTAACTTTCAGGTAAAAGAGTTAAATCACTGATACCTGCCTTTAAACCTGCCTTTAACAAATTCTTTCCTAGAATTGTGATTTTTGTTGAAAAGACATAATTCTATAACACTTGTTTTAAATGAAGGGAGAAGGTTTTTGAGGCAAAAAAGGAAGTACTGAAAGTATATTCACGATAAGAACTAAAAGTACAAAAGTACTAGAAGCCACTGAGGGTCTTTTTTTCTCCCAGCTTTTTACTTTGAAAGTTTTCGTACACAGAAATATTGAAAACTATTTTCAACACACACGTACCCTTCACTTATTTTCAGCATGGGCAACATTTTACCACATGTACTTTTATATTTACAAAAATTTATGTATTCTGTCTCTCTGCTCTCTGAACTCCATTTGAAAGTAAATTGCAGAAATCATGATACTTCTGTGTGCATTTCAGATGAGGGTTCTTTTTTGTGAACTTGAAATAAGACATTCCATTGAGTTTTTTATATATCTAACTTGATTATGAGGTGAAATATGCTTTCTGTAAGTAATCATTGTGAGCGTTTTACAAAAATTTACAATTAATTTTTGCCCGATTCGAGTTTATATTTAGACGTAGAAACAAGCACATAACTTAGGATTTGTTTATTTTAAATAGAATGCTTGTCACTACCTAAGAAGGATATTCTGGCAAGTCTACTTTTCTTAGAACAGAAAATAGATATAGGGGTACAGATAATATGAAAAGGAGGAAAACAGGCTTTCTATTGTCTTAACTCTTGGGGGGTTGTTGTTTTGTACTAACAAATACTCATCTTACTGACAAATCTCATCTTAATTTTGGTGAGAAAGTTTGAGCCATAATCTCATTTACCATGGCTAATTTCTTATTCATTATATAAAATTTATTATACCCAACCTTGCTTTTCTGCTAGATTTAATCAAAACATCTTAAACTTAAAATTTTCATCTTTTTTTTCCCCCCATTAACTTTATTTGGTACATTTTAGGTATACAATACAGTTACATTCATCATTGGGATCTTATACCATTGCATGAGTCTCTTGGTTCTTATTTTTTTTTCCCCTTCCCTTGCCCTCCCTTCACCCCCTCCACCCTTCCCTATTTGCAAAGACCTTGTTTCCATTTTTTTCCTCTTCTCATATTTTTTCCTTTCCCTTTTTTCCCTTCCCCTACCCCTCCCACTTCCCCTGCTCTTTTAGACCTTTTCTTCCTGTTACACAATATCAGTTATACATTTTTTTAAATTACAATATTAAGATCTAGGAGACATTACCACAGATTTTACAGAATTTAAAAGGATATAGAAAGCATATTACAAAAATCTTTTTTGAAATAAATTTGACAACTTCTAAGAAGTAACTTAGAAGACAAATTAATGAAACTAACTCTGGAGGAAATATAAAATTCGAATAGCAGCTATTAAAGAAAGTATATTCCTAGCTGGAAAACCTACCTATATGACAACAGCAGGCTCATAAACATTTTAACTGATAAATTATATCAAACAATTAAAGCAGAAAAAAGAAGGAACACTTCTCCCCTCATTTTAGGAACTCAACATTGTGCTAATCCTAAAATTAGATAAAGATAATAGAAGAAAAAAGTATGAACATAGATAGAAATTTGTTTAACAAAACAAACTCTTAGAAGTCAGATCTGGCAGTATGTAGAAAGTGGTTTTGTTATAGGGCTGGCAGTGTTGGTTCAGCATTGGAAGATCCACCCCCAAAAGTAATCATTTTAACAGAGGAAAGGAGAAAGCCAATTTTCATCTTATTTTGAACATCAGTTGATTCACTTTCTTGAGGGTGGCTCTTGACATTTGTCTTCAGTGATAACATAGGTTAAGTATTTGAAACTCAGCTTTCTCAAGTTTGTTTGTTTGTTTTTTTCTTGGGACCTTGAACTTGCAAGGCAGGGGGTGGAACCACTGAGCTAAATCCCTGGCCCTTGTTGTTGTTTTTTATGCATTTTAGGATAGTTACAGTTCAAATTGTTTCTTTACTATTAAGTAGTGGTTGTATAATTTTAGATTAGTTTGAATGAGTCCGTAGTTTTGAATTTTGTAGACTTGTAAACAGTGTCTTTCTTTGTTTTTTTTGGTACTGGGGATCAAACTCGGGACCTTGCACTTGCAAGGCAGGCACCAGAACCACTGAGCTAAATCTCCCGACCCAACAGTGTCTTTCTTAATAACATAACTAATTAATTTTTAACAAAATTATAATTTAAAAGTTATACATGCATTATTTGTTATCTTTCCTTTTATTGTAGGAGGTAGAGAATATGATTTCACTACAAATCTTGAGTTTTAAATTAAGAGCTTTTTTTTTTTTAAACTTGGTATCAGGGATTGAACTCAGAACCTTGTCCTTGCACGGCAGGCACAGTCCCACTGAGCTAAGTCCCCAGCTAAATTAGGAGCTTTTGACTAATGTCTGTGGATGCTTATTACTTGTGTAATAATTTGTGTAATAATTTAATCTAGAGCAAGGTGGTTAGTGGGTTAATTAAGACAGCAGTGTCAGAGCTCTGAGAGATCTCTGTAAGATTATTTCTCTCTTCTTGAACTCAGGACAAATAAACAGAGAGTAAAGGGCCATTATCATTTCCTTGGAGGTTTTTTGTTAATTATTTTTAAGCCAAGGAAAAATATCTTTTCAGAATCCCCAGAAAACTTTCCCCTAAAGTTTCTTTGGTTGCAGGCCCACTCTCAACTAAACCATCTGCAGGTAGATTAGGATTAGTTTAATCCTGGTTCTTTGTCTGCTTCATTCCCTGGGGCAGGACTAGGGGTTCATCTTCAATGAATATATTGCCATATCTGGAGTAAATTGAAATTTTCATAAGAAGAAAGGGAAATTATTTGGGAAAGTAGTTGTTTAGATCAGTAATTTAACAAAAGTAGATTATTAGTGCCTAAAAGCGGTTGACTGGCAGACTTCTAGAGATACAAAAGAAGCATATCAAAAAGGGGAAATAATAGCAAAAATTTTTGTGATGTTTATGATACAAAGAATATTTGGAATATAAATTGAATCTTTTGCCATATTAACTGTACAACTTGAGCAAATTCATTTAACTTCTTCAGGGCTCCTTTTACTTTTGTTGTAAATATGTGGGGTCAGTCACATTAATAATCTTCACAATTTTCCCCACCCTAAATGTAGAAAGTTCTAAGAATTCTTAATGACCTTGAATGACTTTTGCTTTTACCTGTAAGTTTTTGGTTTATATGGCCAAGATAATTAGCAAATGTCCTTCTTTGGGATTTACTAGAACATAGTGCCATGTGGAACCCAAATAATTTAATCTGAAATATTATTGCTACTTTATTTTGTAGGAAAGGTCTGGCCTTATAAAACAAATTATTTTCTACAGGAGTTGTTTTACCCAGAGTGATAGAAATTAGTATTAATTGTAGAATTTTACTTCCAAAACAGACATATTCATGAACCTTTTTAGCTCATCCAACAGTCTTGTAAAGTTAGTAGGATAACATTTCCATTCCATAAATAAATGACAAAACTAAGACAAAAATTAAGTATTTGCAAGATCAATAGGTATAGCAGAGCAGTAATTTAAATCTAATTGGACTTGACTGTAACTAGGGAAATATTGTTGAGAGAAATATTTCTTCTTTTGCCAGCTCATACTATAAAGCAGGGATATTCAAATACAGATTTTTTTTCCAACACAAAAGTTACATATATATCCCAGCTATGACACAAATGTGATACCGAATATAATTAAATTTTAGCATTGCAAACAAGTGAATACACGGCCTCCTCTAGTGCCATATTTTTGAATGAACAGACATCTCATTCAGTGTGGGATTACATTAGGGGTAACTGAAATCCAGCCAAAACTATTTTTACTGTTTAAACAAGGAAGGGCTTAGCTTATGACTGACCCTTTTTTAAATCCAAAGAATGAATATAAGAGCTACACGGGTTTTGGCTATAACTTGCTGTTTTTGAAAATGCTTTGTATATTTCGTTTATTGGCTCCCGAATGTCAATTATTCTAAATGTTTTAGGATTCATTTTGCCAAAGTAACCTTTCAAATTATTTATCATCTTTTAAGTTTTATGGTATCTTTGAAATGATGTTGATTTTACTTTATCAGATGAAGTGCTCAGTAAATATGTGTGTGTGTGTCCAGCAGATCATTATTACTGTAATAACAATATTAGCAGTTAAAGTAGTAAACTCTAAATTTTCACAGGTTCCCTGAATACCACTCACCCCTGTACTATATGGGGTATTCCCTAGGCTTTTCTGAAATTAGTACAAAGTTCTCTAACTTTCAGTAAATAGTTCCTGAAACCAAATGTCATTTCTGCTGGCTGTCAATACCAAGTTGTTGATGTTTCTGACCTTAAAAACTTGCACTTATTACTTGAGGTTATGTGGACTTTCTCCTAAAACCAAGAGTGTGGTTTAGGATGGTCTTCTCCTGTAACTATGTACAGGAGAAATTAGAGCCCCAACTTTTCATTCTTACTTCACATATATCCACCTAGTTCCCAACTTGCTTATATATAACATGGAGTGGAAGGCAAGCGTGGGAGAATTGACTCAGCTTCCACACAGTGGAGAATACAGTAGTCTCCTCTTGGCTAGAAATGACGCCTTCTAAGTAGACATTGCTTCTAGACTCCGGCTTCATTTAAATTTTCACTGATGTTCAAGTTTCCCCAAGATCCAACAAAGAGTGTATGTCCTCTATCATTGTGGCTAAATGGCTTACTTGGTTTGTTTTTGTAATCCATTCATACGTTATCAATTTACCAGGTAGACTGCATGTCCTTTATATTGTGCATTTAATTTTAGTACACACAAATACATGAATTGGTGATGATAATTGTTATTATTTTGGGTCCAAAATGTCCCACAGAAGGCTTGTGTTTTCATAGGTGGGGTTTTTGGGAGATAATTATATCATGGATGGTTTTAACTTCATCAGTGGATTAATCCATTGATTAGTTCATAGCTGAATATGT